ATTAGGAAGGCTGAGGCAGGAGGATCACTTGAGCCCAGGAGTTTGAGGTTGCTGTGAGCTATGATGACAAACCACTGACTGTACTCTAACTGGGATGACAGAGCAAGACTCTGTCTCAAAAAAAAAAAAAGAAAGGAAAAAGGAATATGCTGAAATGCTAAGATAGTTAATGTTAGAATGTTAAAGAATTATAGATTTTCTTACTCTCAAAATATCTGAAATCTATTTCTATTACTTTAATAGTAAAAAAATGTAAAATATCTTCCAGGAAAAGAACTACTATATAATTTTTATAATTTTCTCAAAGCTGAATAGTAAATCATTGATACTACCAAATAAATAGTAAATATTTCTATGTTTTTAAGCCCTGTAAAAATAAATACTAACCTTCCAGCTAGCAGTACAATGCCAATCCCCATTTTCACTTTTATCCCAGACCTGTAAGAAAACAAAATAAACCACAATACAGAAAAACAATTTTTAAAGAATTCTAGAGGATACTCTAGAATCATATACCAATATCATATAAAATATATGAAATTATATAAAAATACTCTGGATTCATTGTGAAAGTTATAATTAAACAACACAATGAGTACTCCTTTGTACCACTTCAGGCCCAAGACAGAATTAAACAAGTAAGAAAAAAACATATTACAGAAGAAAAAAAAGTGAAACTGGTAAACACAGAGGAGAGAGGCAGCATTTGACCAGTGTCTCAGGTATTCTTAGGACTAACGCTCCTTGGCTGCTCATTCTCCCTACTGGCCCCCCGAATACTAACAAATGTCTCACCCAGTGACTCTGGCCTCGAAGTTTATCATTTGATTCTCCTACTATTTCTTCCCATACAGCAGCTGTTCGGTCAAAAGAACAGGAAGCCAAAACCTGTCCAAATTCAGGATGGGCCCACGTCACACGCCATACAGATCCACTATGTGTCTGGAGAATGAAAAAGAAAAGCAACAGACATTCAATATCCCAGGACTTTTTTTTCTTTAAGAAAAAAATTAGTTTATTCATATTTCACGCATTGGATTTTACTTGAAGAAACTAAAACAGATATTTTTACTTCAACAAAAAGACAAAGGTGATCAATGTAACATTTAAAAGAAAAGTTAAGTTTTAGAACTTTTTAACCTTTAAAAGATATTCTATATTTAGGATTGCAGACTTCTGGAGTCAAGTTCTTGTAACATTTTACTAATAAAGAAAAACCCAGTTTGATAAAGTTGACTGACTACTTCCAGTGCTAATAGCTGGATACTTGCTTCAGAGTTCAGCCTAACCAAGCTTTGAAAACAGAGATTCTACAAGTCCACCATTTTTTCACTTGCAAATTCTTTCTACAGGAAACACTCACCTAACAAAATAAATAAAATTCGGTTAATCAAATTATTTGCTTCAAAATCCATAGAGACAGAAAGTAGATTCATGGCTACCAGGAGCTGGAGGAGGAAGATTGAGAAGTGACTGCCAAACGGGTACATGGTTTCCTTTTGGAGTGATAAAAATATTCTGGAATTAGATAGTGGTGAGAGTTGCTGACTTTGTGACTATACTTAAAATCACTGAACTGTACACTTTACATGTGTGAATATTATGGTATGTAAATTATAGCTCAATAAAAAAAGTATTGTTTTATAAGGAAATCACTTGCTTCAAAAGTATAACAACAGACATTATAGCAACAAAATCCTTAAACGATTCTCACTGATATCTGGTTAGATAACAGATTATTCTGGGAAGACGCACTGAGTATGCAAATATAGAGAAGCCCAAATCCTTATACCTAGAGGAAATCATCTAAAGCTCAGTATCATTACATATACAAATGTCAAATTATTATTCTATAACCCTTCATGTTGACCGCCCCCACCAAAAAAAAAAAAGGATGGAAAAGTCTTAAAGCACAACCAAAACAATTTGCTAAGTGTGTCCAAGCAGAAATACTATACTACTATACAAAGATAAACACAGAAAATTTGTGTCACGATTCTATATATCTAATATTCTTTACATTCAACAACATAAGAACACTTTCTTAACCCAATAAAGTCTACATGGTAACAATGTCACCAACCAAAGGTAAACTTTGCAGTCTTATTTTTTATCCTTTGTTTTGTCCAGTCTTTTCTTTATCATCTTCAATTCTTACATGGCACTATGAAGTAAAAAATGCACTAAAGCAGAGTTTTATCAAATGTTAGATTCCCAGTAAAGCACAATCTAAAGAATAAGGCTTACGCAAAGATGCTCATCACAATAAAGTGGAAACAACTAAAATACACATTAGTTAAGCAAAACATGGTATATTTATTGGATGCTTATAAAGAACCCTTAAAGCAGGGGCCCCCAACCTATGGTGAGTTTTATAATTATTTCATTACATATTACAATGTAATAATAATAGAAATAGAGTACACAATAAATGTAACATGCTTGAATCATCCCAATCAGAAAATCATCCCCCCCCATCCGTGGAAAAATTATCTTCCATGAAAACGGTCCCTCTGCCAAAAAGGTTGGGGACTGCTGCTTTAAAGATATACCAAAGTACTTATGAAATATGTTGTTAGAATAAAAAGCAAGAGATTGGGG